AGGAATTGCTCCCTCTGAGGGCGTCAGCCCAGGGCATGCTGCTTCATTCTTCTACTCACCCACTGACCTCCTCACCCTCCTGTGAGCCCAGCAATTCCTTCATCCAACCTGCCCTTTCAAAGGCCGGAGGCGGTGCTCTGCAGCAGCGATGGGGAGAGAAAAATACCCTTTTCACAAACGCCTAAGATTAAACTTAAGGAGGGCTACTGTGGAAGGGTGGAGGGAGGAGGGAGTTCCTCAGAAACTGAATTTACAAGGGCTAGGAGAGGCCCGAGGGGCCCTCCAGACAGGCCGTGGGCATGGCTATGGAATGCACGGTTGACATCACTGCTTGGCAGGGCACCTCAGGGAAGCCACAGGCCTAGCGTCAGCTCAGCGCCTGGCCTGCGAGGGCTGGTTGCCTGAGTCCACGCACCACCCTCACAGGAAAGACTTGCTATAAAGGCAAGTGTTTCATCTACCGAGCACCTGCTGTAAATGAATCATGGAGCCAGGAGCTGTTGTCAAGGAGAAGTACATTTCCAGGGGCTTCCCGTAGTGACGGCAAGACGAGCACCTGTGATATGATGGTCAGGCACTTGACTGTGTGTGATCCAGAATTCAATTGTATGGTGTGGATGTTGTGGTCCCAGCAACAGAGAATGTGTGTGGGAGGTGAAGCAAGGCAGGGGCGGCAGAACCTGGGGGCGGGCCTTTCTGAGGCCTCGAGGGAAGTCCGAAAGCAGGGCTTACTCCATGAACTAACTGGGCTCCTGAGGAGCGGGAGCAGGTGGGTACCAGGGAGGAGAAAGAAGAAACACTTGCTGTTTCCCAAATTGTTTTTCGCTGGCTGGGTGGAGCGCTGGGCTCGGACAGCTCTGCGACGGCCTTGAATGTATTTGCAGATCTGTGTCCACCTGAGTCCAAACGCCGTCCTCCATCTGCAGGGTGGGAGATGGAGTGGGGAAGCTGAGGCATGATGGCTCTGGATCGGCAGAGGCAAGGCATTGGAACAGAGGGTACCTGAGAGAGGAGGGAGGCTCTGAGCTGCTTCACTGTTCAGCATGTTTTAATAACTGAACATATAAATTAAGTAAATATACCACCTTCTAATAAACATGCTTAGTAAATATTGTAGAATTAAGGTTGGAGGTGAAGGTAATTATACTTCTCAATGAACACGGAATACATTCTAGAGCTGGAGAGCTGTTTAATAGTATCCTATATAATAAAAGGCTAATATGCAAATCGACCGAACAGCGAAACGACCAGTTGCTATGACATGCACTGACCACCAGGGGGCAGATGCTCAATGCAGGAGGTGCTCCCTAGTGGTCAGTGTGCTTCCAAAGGGGGAGCGCTGCTCAGACAGAAGCCAAGTTCATGGCTGGCGAGCACAGCAGCGGTGTCAGGGGCTGAGGGGACCCCCCCCCAAGTGCACCAATTTCATGCACTGGGCCTCTAGTTATAAATAAAAGGGGATCCATGCCCCAGACTCTCAAGTATTGTTAATTTTCTTTCAAAACTCATGCAGTAAAAATTACTTTATAAAATGACATTGAAGAACCTCAATTGACTGTTCTCCAGTCATTGTAAAATCTTTTTATTTAGTGAATTGTTTGGGCTCCAGAACTAGTGGAAAGTAGTTTTAAATGATCTCAACTTCTCTTCCTGACACAGAAATTCCTCCTCTCTCTGTCTCTCTCTGTCTCTCTCTCTCTCTGTCTCTCTCTCTCTCTCTTTCTTACACACACACACACACACACACACACACACACACACCCTGTGAGTGTCACAGACTAGAAAAGGTTTAGATACTCTGATTTAGACTTTTTGGTTGAAAATATGCTGAAAGTTGAGGTAAAATTGATACTGAAACCAGATGACTTGGGTTTTAGAATACAAGTAAGGGGGGAGGGTGTTTCTGGGTGACCCGGATGGATCCAAGCGAAGTTGGCAGGGCTTGGGGCCTCTATCAGAGCAGAGTTCTCACCAGACTCCTGGTTGAGTCACATGATTTGTGATTCAAGGAGCGACTACTTTTGATGCTGACCTGGAGGCCCATCTCTCCCGTCTGGAGAGGTACAGTAGGTATTGGTTCCTATCTCTAAAGGTATGAAACAAAAACAAAAGACACCCATGGCTTAGGCCTCTGCGTCCTGATGAACGTCCCAGATCTGGCCATCAGACAAGTACCCAAGCCCTGGCACTGCATTAGTCACACAAGGCTCAGCACACCTGGCGGGTGTAGCGTCACGCCTTGGCGGCTCATAAACCTGGCCTCTGACAGATGACGAAGCTGTGATTGCAGGGCCTTGCGTGTGCTTCAGAGAATGTGACAGTCACAGGGAGAGTCCTAGGGCCAGGATGCCAGAAAGGGTGTGTTAATCCAGCCTTCCTCTCTGCACAGGAGAGAGCTCCCCCAGCGCAAGGGCATGACCCACGTGGTTGAAATAACTTCTGCTCTTAATGGAATGGGACCACCACGCACTAGAATATCTGGAGTTTTTAGTCTGGAAAATCTGGAGGGAGATACTCCTTCTCTTCAACTACTAGTAAAACTTCAGTGGTAACTATCTTCATACACTAAACCAGTGGTTCTCAACCTTCTGGCCCTTTAAACACAGTTCCTCATGCTGTGACCCAACCATAACATTATTTTCGGTGCTACTTCATAACTGTAATATTGCTACTGTTATGAATCATAATGTAAATATCTGATATGCAGGATTGTCTTAGGTGACCCCTGTGAAAGGGTCGTTCGACCGCCAAAGGGGTCGCGACCCACAGGTTGAGAACCACTGTACTAAACTGAGGAAAATGGTCTGCGAAGAGTGTTACACTGGTGATTTTTTTTTTTTTTTTTTGGTGTAAAACAACCTTTTTTTTTTTTTACATTCATGAATTCGTAGATTAGAAATTCAGACAAGGTATAGTGGGGATGCTTTGTCTTTGCTCCATTTGGGACGATCCAAGTGGCTGGAATCTTCTGGAGATTTCTTTTTCTTTTTTTTTTTTCTTTTTTTTAAAATTAAATCTTTATTGTTCAGATCATTACATTTGTACCTCTTTTATCCCCCCATAACTCCCCTTCTCCCAGTTCCTACCCCACCCTCTGCCCTGACTCCCCACCCACTGTCCTCATCCATAGGTGCACGATTTTTGTA